GGAGTAAAATGGTTAAAAGTTAGATCATGATTTTGGACAGAACATGTGTAAAAATCATATGAGCCTGGTCTTATGGTGTTAATTCAGTGATCCATCTTGGTCCATGACCTCTAAACATGTCAGGTTCATAAAAACAACAGCATCAATGTGTGTGTTGTTTGTCCGGAGTGTCACTGAGTCCATGTGTGAGTCTGGAGATCTGAGCTGAGCTGAGCTGAGCTGCTGTCTGGGTTCTGTTCTCTTACTGCAGAACAAGTCCAAACATTACTCAGCAGAAAACTGGGTGCGCACATGGAGCGTGAGCTCTGCAGCACGATGCGCACAGAGGATTTATGATGGAGGAGGAGGAGGAGGAGGAGGGAGGAGAGGAGGAGGAGGAGGAGGAGGCAGGTATGTTTGCAAACACACAGGTAAACTGGCTCATGTGTAGAGACGCATAAAGTTACGCAGTGGTGTGTGTGAGAGAGGTGACATTGCGTTCCTGTGCCGGGAGGCGTGTATGTGTCTGTGGCGGGGGATGGAGTGAGAGGAGTCGGTACCTTGCAGTCGAGCCCGCCGCCTCCCTCCTCCCGGAGCACCTCCAGCTCCGCGCTCAGCTCCCCTCCGGAGGCTGCAGCTGACGCATCCTCCTCCTGGCTCTTCCCTTCCCGCTGCACTGAGCTCTCTGCTCCCATGGCGAACACCGGTGATGAAGGAGGCCCTGTCTGTGGGTACTTTGGCTCTGGATTGAAAGAAATGAACCGAGCCTCCGGCTGCGACCAGGACGGAGAGAGAAGTGCGTGTAACTGGAGAGGAGGAGAGTATCCGAGACGCGTCCGGCTGGCTGTGCGTGCAGGCTGCTCCGCCCCGGGGTGACCTGGATGTGGAGTGATGAAGAGTGAGGAGGACCAGCAAACTCTTACAGGACACCCCCCTCCTCCTCCTCCTCCTCCTCCATCACCACCTCCTCCCCTCAGAATCAAATAGGGCTCCGCCTTGCAGCATCACAGACTAATGGAGGAAAGACATGCAGCATCTGAAAGACACACAACACGCACACAACACAAACACAGATCTTATAATGTGATTATTGTTCATCCGCCCCAAACAGGAAGAAGGTTAGTTCTGCTCAAAGAGATTAGAGATGTAAGAAAAACTCACTGACACATCAGAGTGAATCCTGCACACATCAAACTTACAAAAGGAACTTTTAAATCTAAACGTGTTGGTCACATGATGGGAGAAAAAGATGATATAGAAATACTACTTGTACACACAGAGACATTCAAATACTAATGTGGACTTCATACTTAAGGATATTGACTTTTCCCCACCCAATTGTAGTAAAACTGCGTAATATATAAAACATATTTCATCACTAAAACATCTTCCTCTCTCTTTTTATTCTCCCTTGTTTCTGGCTGAGAAGGTAACAGCTGCTTTTACATGCAAATAAACGTTTGTGGTAATGTGCTGACACGTTTTCAGCCATGTTTCTTTCTGGTTTGTGTAAAAACACAGTTCAACATGAAAATCATTCAAATTTATTATGAGTTTAACGATAAACGCAGCTTCATTGTTTGTCTGGTTTGATGTTTTCATGGTTTATTAGTTGAAAAATCCAGTTTTGATTCCCCGATCGAATCCCTCTGACATATCCTACGTACAGTTCTACTTGTCGGCCCTGATGTGTCCAGCAGCTCTGCCTCTCTCATGCGGAGATGATGTTCAGGTTTAAACGTTAATTGCAGGTCGGGCCATGTATTTTGTTTGGAATTTTAGAACGTGCAAATTACAGCCCGAGCTCTCAAAGCCAAGTTCACACAGGCCTATGGACGATGGAGGGTCGCTGCAGCAAAACCTAAACACAGTATACAACATCACAAACAAACACTTCGAACAGAGAAATACTCAAATATAGCACATATAAGTATTTTATTGAGAAAAAGACTCAATAGATGGGAAATAAACTGAGGATATAACTTGCAGCAATACATATGTATGGAACTAACACACTTATGCAGTAATTTGAGCCATCGTTTCAATATAAACTGATAAACTGATCAGTGCAGCTTTAAGTCACAAAAACAAGACTTCTTTGACACTTAAAGGGATAGTTCACCTAAAAATGAAAAATTACTCATTATCTACTCCCCACTAGGCCGACTGGGGGTGGTGTTTGAGTCCACAAAACACTTTTGGAGTTCCAGGGGTAAACAGCGTTGCAGCCAAATCCAATACAATTGAAGTAAATGGTGACCGATTCTTCAGAAGTAAAAAAAAAACTCCTAATGCCTCATTTAAAATGTGTTTCGAGTCTTAAATCTCATGTTTTGACCTCGTAAAATAACGTTGACTGACTCGACCTGCACGTTACTGCTGTGAGTTTCAGTTTCTTAATAGTTTCTTGTTATATTTTAAAGGTCAGGATTAAGACCAGAAAGTTTGGCTAATTTCTCAGAAATTCTTGGGACATGACTTACCCTCAAAAACCTGTCTGGATAGACCTGGATGTGTGGACTGAAGACTAAAACTCATCTGCTATAGGATAAAGTCTACAAAGAACAATGCAAACATTCAGTTCATAACATTGTTGGCCACAGGAACCAGTGATGCAAAACTACAGAAAGTTACCGTCATGTGTGTTGTCACGCTGTACGGCCTCAGAGCTCCTCCATCCACAGTGCTGATTAAAATCAAATTAAAGAAATCATAACGTTATCAAATCAAAGTAACCACAGACACATGATGAGCTAATGGAAAACTCTGGCGGAATCAATCAGTCTACGTGTAATACAAAGAGCTTTTTGTCCTTTTTCTTCTTTGTTGGTGTAATAATCAGTTCATCGATCTTTTGGGGGATTCTGGTAATTTGGGACTTTTTTTTTTTAACAATGTTGACTTCTTTGACTTATTCCAATATCGGTTTTACACACTAGATCAACATGTTATATCTTTCTGTAACCCTAAGATGTTTTCTAACCACACAGATAAAAGAATGGAGATATACTCAGAGGAGACAGGAAAATGCTTTTTGAGTTTTTTGTGCCACAAACCTGTAATCTAGGAGACTTGTATTTGTCACTCCTGAAATATTTAAATTCTTTTCATCTTAAACAACATCCTCAAAAACATGTCACCCCCCAAAGTATTATGGTCTGTCTTGTCTCTTTAAAACACATGATGACATTCCAGCTTGCATGGTAGCACAAACAGAGCCACAACTCTGAGCCTCTTCAATTATTTCCACAGGAATGTAATTCAGTTTTATCTGTTTTGATAAAATCAGAGTTCATGAAGCAGCTGAACTACAGAGTTCTACTGAATGAAAGGAGTCGAGACGTATCTGTTAATAGTTATTTGTATAGAAGGGATAGAGCAAAGATAAGACACTGTTTGACAGAATCTCAGAAACATATGCCCTCGAGCTGAACTACTAACATTTCTACAGCACACGAGAAAAGCTGGAACTGTGGATATGGTTGTAGCTCCACATCATGAACTGAGTTGTTTTCAATTATATTATAATATTTGATTAATGCAAACATTTCAGGACATTAATGCCTTAATATGATGCCTAATGTCCATCGTGACAGGAAAAGCTAATATTTAACATTTTGAAAATGACGCAAACAGAATGTCCAAATCCTCATTAATAAACTGTGTCATCACGTTTGTGGCACATAATGATCTGAGGCTCGTAAAGCAACATATTGATAATTCTTGTCACAGAAAATCAAATCACAGAATAATTCGACACACGTGCGGCCACAAGACAGAGCGAAGCGAGACAAGTAAACCTCATTACACATGTGCAGCACATGCAGATAAGTGATCAATGACCTTCAGAGTGGCAGATCCATCAGTGGCGGTGCTGATGTCATCTGATAGACGAGGGGGATGGAGGAGGAGAGTTAGACGGGGGAGGGAGATTTACCGCTTATCTAATGAGGTAAGAGCACATTAAAAAGCACGGCGCATGTTTCAACACAACCAACTACAGGGGGAGATCAGGAACAACCATCTAAACAAGACATATTTGTGTGTGTGTGTGTATATATATATATACACACACACACATCTTTAAATGTGACAACCAAATGTTGTGAAATGCAGTCTTTCACACAGGCAGTGTGAAGTGAAGAATGTGGCCCCGAGGCTCCAAGTCTGAGTGAAGGCACCGTGCAGACAGATACTTTGTCACAAGCAGCAAATTGAGGCTTAAGCTCCAAAAACAAGATGGGAGAAAAAAAAAGGAAGGCATATATACAATTTTGCATAATTGGGATAATTCATGGGACCAAACGTGACAGGATGCAAACGTAAGGGGAGAGACGCAGCAGGAGAAACTCTCCACGGCCTTCAGGTGGGGGGGGTGGAGCAGCAGGCAGAGGCAGGATGTAACATGGGGATCTCCACATTTCAGCACATGTCTGACATCAGCTATAATAAAGCCATGGTGCAAGAAGTTTGTAAGTAATCAGATTAACAAGAAGCAAAATGAAACAGGGTGAATCGAGTGCAGAAACATCCGAGACGTTCTCCAGGAGTTTAAACCCACACCGGCGTCTCCAGGGACCTGTCCTTGGTACTGAAATTAGCCGCTCTATTAAATATGAGAGCTAAAAGATGAGAGCTCAAACGAGCGGAGCATTCACCACCGCGAGGCAGAGGCTCAACACAAACAACTCCAACGTGACGAAACAGGGAATTTTCCAGCGCGTTACAAAGCAATAACGAAGCCCCCACCACCTCAACACCATGTCTTCAAATCTGTCATCAGCTCAAAACAAGAGGGTTCAGTCTCTGTCTCACACACACACAAACACACACACACACACACACACACGTGATGCCATTGGAGCACTGCTGTACAAATGAGAGCATTCCTGCCGCCCTGACTGTAGTGATAAGTGCCAGATCCTGCCTGGCGAACACAGGGAATAACAGACTGAGCAGGTGTGGAATGCCGGCTATGACAGGCACACACATGTACATGGGCTCCATGTTGCAAACACAAACACCTCATAATGACAGGTGATACACCCGGGGGTGCTGCCTGGGCCCCCCCGCAATCATTGACATATGGGAGCAAAGAGGAACTGGGAAGTAAAACACAAGACAATGATGAAAAATGTAAAAGTTGTGATGTGGAGAGAAAGGTTTCTATTTTTATCAGGAGACAAGAAGAAGACAGTTTCAAAACAACAGCTGAACAAGTCAAACGCTGGGTGCAAGAACACACAAACACTTTGGAGTGAATACAAGGTTTATTTAAAAGGCACATTTCATCACTGAGAACCAAAATGTTTAACACACAACCGTCTATAAGAAGAATAATGAATATGGATTCAAATCTAATATTCGATTTAGGCTACAACAAAACGTATGACAGTTACGGGGGCATTTCATGTTATTACAAATTCTTTAAATCATGAATGCACAAGTCAGGACACAGATTCTGGATTTGGTAATAGACAAACAAACTAGCTTGTCTTGCAACAGCAGCGATACATTCATTAGTTTGCATGTAAACCAGCCACCACCTGCGTGTGAGCAACTCAGAGAGGTGGGGAAGATGAGTATGTTGTACTCAAATGTAAAATTCCCACAGTCGCCTACTGCAGATGAGGCACACCTCGCTTGAAATTAAGGAAACCCCCACAAATATCATAACATATTAAAACATTTTAATGAAATAAAGAAGAGAAAAACAGGAACTGTGTTATTTTACATAGGAAATGGCATCTATTAAACGAGTGGGGTTATTTTTTTAGCTCCTCTGCTGCACAGTTTCCTGGAGTAAACACTGAAATGTGACACATTACAGGCACTTTCAGGCTGGATATATTTCATCACATAAAATAGTACACTTGAAAA